AAGTAAAAACAAAAAAAAGATGTTATGGATAAATAAATATAATATATAATAAAGATGAGCATTATATTATAATGAAAATGGAATAATTTTAATGTTTTCTTTTTTTTATCATTCTTTATGTAATAGAAGAATATTGATTAATTGAAACGATATTCTATAATTTACATTAAAAATCAGTGACGCGTAAATATGGAAATTTATGATAATAGTGTTTTGTTAACTAACTAAAATTGCATCATTTTAAATAATATTTCATATTTCATGGAATAAAATTTTTTTTTTTTTTAATATTTACATATAATCAAAATTAACATAATTTTTTAGTATTTTATTTTAATTTTGAATAAAAATTTCAAATTAATTAAAAAAAAATAATTAAAATTTCAAATCGCGTTAAAGAAGAAATTAATTACATGAAAATTTACATTTTTTAAATTATGTTCATAAAAAATGAAATGACTTTTTTATTTGACTTCATTCTAAATTTTCGTTTAATTAACAAATGTTATAAAATTATAAACTCTATAGAATGTTTCAAAAGATACTTATCATTTTCTCTTACATTTTTCTATTCATTTTTTTTTTTTTCCCCCTTTCATCCTCTTCTTTTTACTTCGAAGCTCATCAACCTTGCTTCTCTATTAATGATCCGCATCGTTCTTATAAAGAAGCAATTTGAGAAGTCTTTAGTGCGTTCTTTATCACGATTTAAGCAAAAAAAAAATAGCGTCTCCGTGAATCTTTTTTCGCGTTATAAAAGCGTTCTGATATATTCTGTATAAAGAGAGAAAAAGGAAAAAAAGAAGAAAATCTTTCGTATGATCGTATTAAAAAATTAAAAATAGTAGTTTTTTCGATTTAATAAAATTTTTTCATAACAAGATTTTGATATATACAAAAGTGTAATAATTTTTTCTGTGAACTGTACGATTAATAATTTTCATTATTATTAATTTAAATTTTAAAAAATCGTATAATTACGAATAGAATTTTAAATATTGAAAAAAAAAATAATAATTTTGAATTATTTTTATTAATGTCAAAAATCAAGGTTTTTCTTTTATTTATTTATCTCATAAATTTCGATAAGAAATTTTTCCATTTTCAAACTGCTATATAAAATCGTATTAATTATCGTAAATTAAAAATATTATACTATTATTAGATTAATATCAGAGAATATTATTCATAATATAAAAAATATAATCGCAATATCGTTAATAAAAGACATTCCACCAACTTTTTGTCCAACAATTTGTACGTATCATTGTGTATTATTTTCGGAGTTCGCTTTAAGGAAGCTTTTTTATTTGAAATCGATGTGTGTCTTCAACAAAAGTAATCGTGGCATGCTTCCAAAGGTCACGTTGCTTGTCAATGCGGATATCACCTTTAAATAGAGCGTTTGAAATAGGAGAAGTGATTAATGAGTGTATGTATCTTGATATGAAATAGATGATACGTTTGTCGAGTTCCTCTTTCATGCAATCAAAATATTACAATTCTATTACAAATTATATAGTAAGTAACTATAATTTTTTATGAATGAAAAAGTTTAATCTACCAGGAATATGTTGAACTTAATTGTACTATAAATAGAATTTTGAACAATAATTTGTGATTGAAAAAAGGAATATTATATTATTTTTAAATAATTTATTCTCGATTAATTAATTTTTTTTCAAGATCAACTCTTATTTTTAGTAAAGAAAAATAGAAAAATTATTATTCGAATAAGTTAAAATATACTGATTGATGATTTTCAGAGAACGTTATGTTCGCTCCCACGTTTAAAGCTTCTTCCGCAACACCAGGTAAAGTTGCAAATGAAACGAGAAACCAGAAATTTGAAAAAATACATGTAATATAATATTTTTGAGAATTGATTACAAATTTTCAAACTAAAAATTAAGCAATGTTAACATTAACACTGAGTGTCTTGCATTTTTTTTTTTCAGATATGCATGCTTGTGGTTTAATCACACGACTACAATTATACATCATGTAAATATGTATCATGTGAATGAGTGAATAGAACGAAGATCTAAAAACGACAACTAAAATTAAATAATCTGAACTTGAAAATAATTGATCCGAAAAACATTACCAGATAACGTATATAAATATTATTATCTCTTCTTTAAATATTATTAAATTATTACAAGATTATTGAAAATCAAAATGCGCGTAGCGTCGATATTTCTTATAATTTTAAATAAATTGGCTTGTTGCATTGCACTGTAAAAACGTATTATTCTATAATAGTGCTATGCAATTAGACGTACTTTAATATCGACGCCCACGAATTTCTAATTTTACGAGTGAACCGTGTTGCTTATTTCCTGCTCTTAATGTCACGAGCCACAGATATTAAATCTAAATTCGAAAAAATTACTTAACAATTATTTCATTTTTTTCTTTAAAATCATTGAAGAAAGATCATAAAATTTTCGATTCTCTAAATAAGTTGGACAAATATATATCAACACATCTACACGTGAAATATTAATATCCATAATAATAACCTTTATAATAACAATTGATACACAAATTTAACACACACGCGTAAAAAGAAAAATTAATTGAAAAAAAATAAATTGAAAAAAATAAAAATAATTCAAAAAAAAATAAATACACTTGTGTGATTAATTAATTAATTAATTAATTAATTTGTCATTTTCACAAAAGAAAAACGAAGAAAAAAAAAGAAATCGCAAAAAAATTCGAAAAACATGATCTCTCCCCTGCCTCGAAGACCAAATAACCATTTCGAAATGCACGAGGGTAGAACGAACGAGGGTGGATAATTAGCGTGACGATCGTTTCAGTCCCAAAAATTGCTTCCTTCCCTTCTCTTGCCTCTGCTCGCGTTAACGGAGCGAGAAATTGACGCGTAAAGAACGATTCTTTATATATATATATATATATACATATATAATACCGCCTCCACGTAGGCCAAGATTAGCAAACCCCTCACACTTATGGAATCGTTGATTTTGTAATGGTTGCTTGGTGTAAAAGAGGCATTGGGGCTATTTTCTCTCGTGTTTCGAGTTGGAAATTCTATCGATCGAAATAAAGAAGAATTGGAACGATTTCCAAAAATCGAGGAAAGTATTCGAGAGGATTTTTGTTAATTTTTTTTTTTAAAAAAATATTTACAATGAGAATATTCAATTGATACCAAATGATATGGTAAATAATTTTATATTATTTTTGTTTCCAAATGTGGCATTGTTATTAGTGCTTCAAATAATCAACTCCTAACTGAATTACACTTGCAATTTTGAGATATGCTAAAAATCCACATACCAAAGTTTTTTTTTACTTAAAGGACACGCCAGTTATGTAAATATGTGATTGGATTTGTTACTTTACTAATGAATATTAACCCTTGCCTCTGTCGATACCCTCTTTTACATGAACTGGTTTCTCCAGTGAGAACGGATTTTTGGGTAGAGACAAAAGGGTTAAGTTAACAATAATCGATCAAAGTCAAAATCTTGGACTAACCGCGCGAACGTTTTCCAGGCGTTTGGTCACCTGGAAGCGAGCCACCCCCGAGGAAGGAGCCGAGCCCCGAGCGGAAAGAATCTCAAAAGGATGGTGGCATACCACCCATCTGGACGCCTTCCAGCGCTGGAGCCAGCCCAATTCCCGAGAAAAAGGAATTTCGACCGGTGCAATTCGAGAGCCCTACCCTAAGCCGAAAGAAGCTAGCGCAGCAAGAAGTGAGTTATCAACACTCACGATCCATCCACGTTCAACTGTAAAATTTAGGGCTTGGAAAAAAGTGTTAACGTTGGAACGATATTGTTAGAATTATGTTAGATGTCAGAAAGAATTATTTAAAGAAAGTATTTTAATCTGCGATTAAATTTTGTTTCTCTATTCTATATTGTAATATTAAGTAAGTAGAGATAATTCAAAGATTACAAATTATTTGTTACAAATTAGTTTGATTCAATTATATTAGTATGTTTACTTGATGAAGAATTTAAAATACAATAGATAAGGTAGATAGATGGAAATTTTTTATTGATAATAGTTCTAAATATTTCTTATAATTACATTTAATTATAAAAAGAATTAAATATATGTATACTTACATATGTACTTACAAGTAAGTATATGTAGTATACATGTGCTCTTTTCATAATATAAAATTATAATTATTACATAATTTCAATAATATTATTAATAATTAGAATTATATATTGTGCAAATGGTTTGTAGTTTTATTATTATTATTATTATATCATCAAAATAAAAAATTACAAAAATATGAATTATTAAATATTGTTAAACTTGTTTAACAATTTAGAAAAATTGATATTTAATTGAATTCAAAATAAGGAGATTTTGAAATATGACATTTTTAAATTTTTGATAAAAAGTTGTGACATTTCGTTGGATTAATAATTATTAATATCATTCTCTTGTCTGTTTTTTGTATTATTAAATATTGATCATTAAATATTGATTGTTTTCAAGGAATATAAAATGGATAATTTTTATCTTGGTTCATGTACAATGAACGAGATTGCGTTAGAGTTTATTTGACAGTGGTATAGTTTTCTGGTATTAATAATTGAATTCTGTTAGAGTACGCAGGAAACTCTACCGCCTTGGGAGACGGAAGTGGAAAAGAAGGAAATAACAAGAAGTAGTTATGAGAGCACTAGTACCAGTTCGCGAATTGTCAATTCCCACTCAGCACCGTCGCAGGGATTAAATTCATTAAGTTCAACGCCTCGACTGCCACGTGCTCAGAATCCAACTATAACACTGCTTCAAAAAGCAAGAGGTGAGATACAATATAGTGTAAATTAATTGACAAAGCAATCAGAGATTGTGATTAAATTTAAAAGAAATAAAATTTAAGAATTAGAGAGATTAAACTTTTATTTTCCAATTACAATTTTCTTCTCAAATTTTGTTTCTTTAAATATTTGAAAAACATGTCTTATACAGATTCTTTTTTTTATTAAAGTTTCCTTAGATTTATTTCTTTTATACCTTATAAAAATAAAAGTATATATATATATATATATCATTGTTATTGTAAAATCTTAGAAGGACAATTGCCAAAGGGAGCAGCCTATCTAGAAGAGAACGAGACGGAAAAGCGTCCACCCAGCGATGAGAAAGGCATAATTAGTCCAGGAGAGATCAGTGAGTATATCTTTGGTCGAATATTACATTATAACCGTGTATCACTGTCCATAAGCTCTCTCTGCTCCATGGATCCACATTTTAAATTGTAATTTTAAAAATCTGAAGTGGTGAGCCAACCAACTCTCGTGGCAACTTTGCACGATAAATCGTTGTTTAAAAAAGTTTTCTTTCGCGACAAAGTTCGGTTGAGCCGAGTTCTTTTCACGGTTTTCCGCATTGTGAAATTAAAATGATGTCCGCTCAGTATACACGGTGAAGAAAGAATACGAGAGCGAGCCGGAAACGGAAAACGAACCGCCGAAGAAGATGGCCGACTTGGGTCCTCGAAAATTCGAGGGTATCGGCCCAACATCTAAGGAGGGTATTCCCCTTGTTTTGAGATCGGTAGGTCACTCCATCTGTCAACAGTTAATAGAAGCTTTAGGTATATAATTAACAAGAAGAGGGAAATATTGGATTCTTAATTATTTGATTAATTGGCTGGAAAGTCTTAACAAGATTAAAAATATTAATAATATTAAAATTTTTCTTGATTATTAATTATTGGTTAAAACTTTTAACAATATTAATATTAATAGTATTTTGATTCTGTAATTAAAATTTTGATTATAAAAATAACATATTTAATTGATTCATTAAGGTATTAACTTAGTTGAAGAATAATATGTTTATAGTCCAAATATGTTGGATTGATTTTTTATTTTAGAATTAGAAAATCTACGTTTCATTTAAGTAAAGAAACATTTTATAGGAAGTCAAGGAGAATAATCAGACAAAGTGGTATAAGAAAATGTACGACTCGTTGCATCGTGCAGACAGAAGCGGTGAGTTCATGCGACAATACTGTGACAATAGCTTCGATGCTTAACACGAGCATATAATTGGAAATTGTGTTAGCAATTAATCAAGTATAATATTTTCTTTTTTTCTATTTTTTTTATTTATTTAATTTTCTTAAAAGTAACCAAAAATCTTTCATTGTTTTTTTTTTTTTTCAATTAATTTGAGCATCACAATTTTTAATTTAACAGATTTCTACTAGAATAGCGTAATTTAAAATAATTTTAAATCAATAATATTTAACGTAACGATATTAAAAGGAATGTTAAAAAGAAAAAGAAAAAAGAATTAACCGTGAGATTAATTATTTAATCTCATTTTCAGATGACTACGTAACCATTCGTTACAAACAGAGAAGAGGTGAATACACGGTCCAATGAAACGAAAAAAATAATATATATACAAATACTAATAAAATAGAGAGAGCTTTAGAAATTAACACGATAATGGCCTTCTTCTTCTTCGGTCGATTTTTCGCTTCGTTCTTTAACATAGAAAAATCACTGACGTTTCGCAGTGTGGCACAAACAGCGTGTCGATACACGCCGATCGATATATTAACCATCCTAATCGTTAATGCGTGAAAATAACAATAACCGATCCGATTGTAATTGATCATTGTGCTGCCCTCATTTTTTAACATCCTGCTACCGATTAATCGATCGTTTCCCCTTTTTCAGCTTCTGTTTCCATACAAATACACGTAATACATATACATCCATGCTAAAAGAGACATTTAGAAATTTAGATCATAATAAACGTTATTAACGTTTAAATTAATTAATATTCATATAACGTATATACATAATTCAAATTTAAATTTTTTAATAATATTTCGAATATAATTTGTAAGTAATAATTGAGAAAATTCTTTGTAAAGGATTAAATAAATAATGATATAGAATTCATTCGAAATTTGTCGCAAATATGTGTGTAATAATATACATATATATCACTTTTCGTATATTTGTCGGTGATGGATGAACTCGATAAAATTTTTAACACGCGTTTGAGCGAATTTAGAAAGGTTGGTGTTGATGTATCTAATCGAAATGTATTTTTTTTTTCTAGGAACGAGATACGGTTACGGAAGTGGATATTTAAGCGAACCGGAACACCGTTTATATTCCGATCGGTCCGCCACTCTAGACAGTCGTCGACGCCTTCGTAACAAGGAAAATGATTTCTTTACGTCGACTATGCCTAGAAAGTAGGATATGAATTTTCGTTTTAATTCAATTTTTATCAATTTTCCGATGATTTTTCGAAATACATGTAATTATTTGCAATTTTTAAAAAAAGGGAAGGGATAATAAAAATTATTATCGTTTATTATTATTGTATAATAATTTAACATAGATAGTTTAAATTTGTGTAATAATTTATTTTAAAAAAAAAAGATAAAGAGATTGAGATCATTTTTATTTTTAACGATAAATTTTACGATTTTTTGTTTGAGGAATGGCACGTTGAAATATAGTTCGGAGATTTATAAAAATCAGCCTGGCCGTATCGAGGACTACGAACCTGGACGATCTTCAATCGCCGAAAAGGAAGCCAAGGAGGTATGTAAATTTTATCTTCTCGAGTTTGATCCATCCTTTGCAACCCTATTCTTTCTTTTCTTTTTTTTTTCTCTCTCTCTCTATACATACGAATTTCCTTCGAAAACATTTCTCTCCCCCTCCATCGAAATTCGTTGTACAATACTTGGACAAAAATCATTGCGCAAAAGATACGGACAAATTATCTTGATTATCTTTAACAGAGAAAAAGTACCACGATCTTTTAACGCTCAAATAATTTCAAGTTTCTCAATCGGATAGTTAGTTTTTAATTTTTCCTTCTTTACCATCGAAGAAACGTTATTTAATTTTTTCCCTTTTTTTTTTCACCATTAAAACATTAAAATATGAAAATTTTAAAATTACGATTCACGGCGAATTATTTCGAAGAGGAATACTTCGGTTGGAAAATAAATCGGCACCTTTTCTCTGCCCCGTCAAGATACCGACAATGTCCCATTGAACGAAGATTAGATAACGAGCTAAACTTTTTTCGCGCGCTTACAATTACGCGTAATTGGTCGAAGCGATCGCTTGTTTAACTCGCATTAATAATCGGCCGCAAATTATCGGCAAATAACACACACATACACGGTACGTAGAAGCTTCCCGAATCAAAGTGTGCCTCGATCTTGATCGTTTGAAATGGCTTTGCTTTCTAGCCGACTTCTGTCACACGGACGAGAAGGAAGGTAACGATTATAACGACCGATTGTCAGAACAATTTAAACAGATGCCACATCACTTTTTTTCTTCTTCTTCTTCTTCTTTCTTTCGTTCGAGTTTTATTTTATTTCTTTTATTTGCCCGCGTGATCGATCATTTAACGTCACATTTCTTTTTTTGGAATATACGTGTATATATATATATATGAGAAACGTTTCGATGTGTTCAAAGATATATATCGAGCGCACGCAATTTCTCGTCCATGCTTTCAGATTATATTTTATCGTATATTATACTTTTTCTATATTTTTTCTTTTTCCCTTATTTTGGTTAGCTTCCGTAGCTGCTTTTAGCGATCAGATACGGTGACTAACTTTTCATCTGAGAATTTTTTTCGGTGGAAATTCTTTCTTATTTGGAATTCTATTTTTTTTTTTTTTTTTAAATTAATAATTGGTATTTTATTCTGGATTCTTTTTTTAACGATTGCAATCGTTTTTACGAAATTATATTTAATATCGATCGCATTAAGAATAAAAGATTATTATATTATTATTTATAAATATCAAGGAGAATGGATTAAATAGTTATGAAGGTATATTAGATGAAAAGTAGTGACGAAAATACATCAGTTTTATATATATATATATTTTTTTCAATTTTAACATATATCATCTTTAACCTCATTTAGCGTACAGATTAACGCTATATTTAATCTTATTTTTCTAGTGGTGGGACGAGGTCATGGACATATTTGACGGGGTACGCCATTTTTTTTTTATTTAATCTTAGTCGAATAAGATCCAGCCCCATTTTTTCCTCTTCACATTCACTTTCACTCTCCTCGCACAATTGAAGGATTGATATTTTAAAATTCAAGATTAAACTTCAAATTGTTATTAATTCTTTGACAATATAATTTCAGCTTTCGTTGTAAATCTTAACAATTGAGCATTGAGTAAGCAATATAACACAAGACTTTATTTTATTTTAGAAACAATTAACAATTTTATACGTTTTTTACATTTACACGCAATAATATTTAAAATAAAGTACAGTTAAAATAATATAATTCAAGAATCAAAAATATCATCTATATATTTCTCGATCATCGCTCTTTCGAAACTGAGTGATCTATCAAATTAGCTTTTCTGATGTGTAATTGAAAAAAAAATCCCTCTTAACTGCACTTAAAAAAAAATGCATGGAAATAAAAAAAACCAATTAAATATCATCCCCCTCCTCCCTCCTCATCAATAAACAAAAAAAAAAGAAAAAGAAAAAATTCTCCCTGCAAATACACAAGTATCTTGATCGATGTCCATGTGTGTGTGCGTGTCTTTGGTGTTTGCCTATCGTATCCCGTGCTCGTGTGCACCTTGGACCACCATCCTCTTGGACCACCATCACTTCTTGCGTCTTCTCGTCTTCCCTCCTCGTTCGATGCCGCACCGACGAACCAACCAACCAACCAACCAATCAATCAACGACG